GAGAGAGAGAGAGAAGAGAATCGAAAGAGGCCGGCCGTGATTGTCTCGCGGTGCCCCCCACGAGGTCGCCCGAATCAGGGAACGAAGATGGAAAGCAGGTTCGGCGAGGGTGACCAATAAACGGGGGATGAGAAAGGAATTGCGGCGCTTGGCCCCCTCCCCCGCCCCCGGTCTCTTTGGCTTTCTGCTGCCCGCGTGCAGAGCAGCGCGAGAAAGAGAAGGAAAGTTGTTTTTGTTTGGGGGGTTTGTTTGTTTTTTCTTTCTTTTTCTTTTTTAAGGCGCCCACCGGCTTGTTGAGCGGGATAATGAAGGCGACCACTGACCGGCAAAGTTCAGCCAAGGAAAAGCAGCTTCAAGACTGAGGAAAGCTGAAAAGGAAGAATATGAAAACAAAGCAGGTTGCGCATCAGCCGCGAACAGTAGTAGTAGCAGTCGTAATTTTTTTTTTTTTTTGCAGGCAGCTCGGCCCTGGCTTTTCCAAGCGGATGCGAGAGGTTAACGGGGTTTTTCAGAAGCGAAGTTTCCGCCGCCGGCTTCATCTCCTTCCCTTCCCTCGCTTGGGAAGTGCGCGCTGCGCCTTCTTCGCTTGCAGCGAGCGGACGCCGCCCAAACGTCAGGCAGCCGGGGAGGGCTGGATTTGTTTTCTAAGCCGCCCGAACGAATCCGCGACTTTAAAAAGCTGACTTTAGCCGATCAGCCTGACCAAAAATAAATAAATAAAACGTGGGACTCGACTAAGGGAATAACAACACAGGGATATATCTCAGGGCGGGGAGGAGGAGGACTGAGGTACTGCGTGTGTGTGTGTGTGTGAGAGAAAGAGAATATATGTATGAAGTGTGTGTTTTCACGGGTATTTATATGTATGGTATTTAGGTTTCTTCGGGTATTTTCCCACATCTTAATATTTGTGCTTTTAAAGACGTGGGAAAATACCCGAGGAAACCTAATATACATACATACATACCCGCGACTTTAAAAGCTGACTTTAGCTGATCAGCCTGACAATAAATAAATAAATAAAACGTGGTACTCGACTTAAGAGGGATATATCTCAGAGCGGGGAGGAGGAGGACTGAGGTACTCTGTGTGTGTGTGTGTGTGTGTGTGTGTATGAATATATGTATGATGTATATATATGTATGTGTTTATATGTATGTGTTTATATGTATGTATGTTATGTTTTCACAGGTATTTATATGTATGGTATTTAGGTTTCTTCGGGTATTTTCCCACATCTTAATATTTGTGCTTTTAAAGCACAAATATTAAGATGTGGGAAAATACCCGAAGAAACCTAAATATCATACATACATACATATATACATACATGCATACATACATACACACATACATACATACATACATACATACATACATACATACATACACTGCTCAAAAAAATAAAGGGAACACAAAAATAAGACATCCTCGATCTGAATGAATGAAATATTCTTATTAAATACTTTGTTCATTACATGGTTGAATGTGCTGACAACAAAATCACACAAAAAATATCAGTGGAAATCAAGTTTAGCAACCCCTGGAGGTCTGGATTTGGAGTTACACTCAAAATTAAAGTGGAAAAAAACACTAGGCTGATCCAACTTTGATGTAATGTCCTTAAAACAAGTCAAAATGAGGCTCAGTAGTGTGTGTGGCCTCCACGTGCCTGTAGGACCTCCCTACAACGCTGGACATGCTCCTGATGAGGTGGTGGATGGTCTCCTGAGGGATCTCCTCCCACACCTGGACTAAAGCATCCCCCAACTCCTGGACAGTATGTGGTGCAATGTGGCATTGGTGGATGGAGCAAGGCATGATGTCCCAGATGTGCTCAATTGGATTCAGGTCTGGGGAACGGGCGGGTCAGTCCATAGCATCAATGCCTTCGTCTTGCAGGAACTGCTGACACACTCCAGCCACATGAGGTCTAGCATTGTCTTGCATTAGGAGGAACCCAGGGCCAACTGCACCAGCATATGGTCTCACAAGGGGTCTGAGGATCTCATCTCGGTACCTAATGGCAGTCAGGCTACCTCTGGTGAGCACCTGGAGGGCTGTGCGGCCCCCTAAAGAAATGCCACCCCACACCATTACTGACCCACTGCCAAACCGGTCATGCTGGAGGATGTTGCAGGCTGCAGAACGTTCTCCACGGCGTCTCCAGACCCTGTCACATCTGTCACGTGCTCAGTGTGAACCTGCTTTCATCTGTGAAGAGCACAGGGAGCCAGTGGCGAATTTGCCAATCTTGGTGTTCTCTGGCAAATGCCAAATGTCTTGCATGGTGTTGGGCTGCACAGCCCCCACCTGTGGACGTCAGGTCCTCATGCCACCCTCATGGAATCTGTTTCTGACCGTTTGAGCAGCCACATGCACATTTGTGGCCCGCTGGAGGTCATTTTGCAGGGCTCTGGCAGTGCTCCTCCTGTCCCTCCTTGCACAAAGGCGGAGATAGCGGTCCTGATGGTGGGTTGTTGCCCTGCTACAGCCTCCTCCACGTCTCCTGATGTACTGGCCTGTCTCCTGGTAGCGCCTCCAATCTCTGGACACTACGCTGACAGACACAGCAAACCTTGCCACAGCTCGCATTGATGTGCCATCCTGGATGAGCTGCACTACCTGAGCCACTTGTGTGGGTTGCAGACTCCGTCTCATGCTACCACTAAAGTGAAAGCACCGCCAGCATTCAAAAGTGACCATCAGCCAGAAAGCATAGGAACTGAGAAGTGGTCTGTGGTCACCACCTGCAGAACCACTCCTTTATTGGGGATGTCTTGCTAACTGCCTCTGCTTTCCACCTGTTGTCTATTCCATTTGCACAACAGCATGTGAATTTGATTGTCAATCAGTGTTGCTACCTAAGTGGACAGTTTGATTTCACAGAAGTGTGATTGACTTGGAGTTGTCATTGTAGTTGTGCTTTTAAAGTTGTAGCAACGTTTTGGCAGAATCTCATCTGCCATCATCAGGCTGATGACAGAAGCCTGATGATGGCAGATGAGATTCTGCCGAAACATTGCTACAACTTTAAAAGCACAACTACAATGACGTGGAAAAATACCCAAACAAAGCTGAATGCCATACATGTAAGTACCCACGAAAACTTAAGAAAACATATACTTACTTACATACATGTATATGTATATGTATATGTATATGTATATGTATACACACACACACACACACACACACACACACACACACGGCATGTCAGTATTAGAATGGAAGTAGTGTCAAACTCTTACATGCTCACAGATTTATTTATTTATTTTAAATCAACAGACTTTTCTTCTGTCTGCAAAGAGTGCACATACAAAAAGGGAAGAGACTTTAGTTAATCGGATTTTTCCAAGTGCTCATACTGGGATGACATACCTAACTGGGCCATGCAAAGGAAGTTGTGCTCCTACCTTCCTATATAAGTTGGGATGCTTACAGGTTGCTTACGGTTGCAAAAACTGTACCTTGATAACTATAACAAACAACTTAAGTAGGCAGGTTTCCCTCTGCTCCCTGCAAGACGTTCTGGACAAAAAGCGTGCAAGGCCTTCAGATCAAGATCAAGACTTGAGATGTGATCCAGTAACACCAAGCCCTGAATTTCCGTCCAGAGGTTAATGTATACATGTGAATTCATCATCACATCTACGAAGAAACTGCTTCCTCATCACATCTGCAGTCATAAATGCTGCTGACTATAGAGCCCTGGAAGGATAGTTAATATTTGAGGAAAAGGATACCCAGGCACAACAGGAGGTTGGTAGATGTGGTGATTAAAACAAAACATCTGAGAAACGGCATCTTGTCCATAGGATTTATTAAATACTCTTATATGTTTTAATAGCCTTAGTGGTTTAAAAAAAACGGCCCAGTGTCTGTGTGCTGTCCTGATGAAAAGCTGTTTTTCCATTCAAAATTGTTCTCTTCTGCGGAAAGGCTGTTTATCCCCACAGCATAATATTGTGCTGGTGCAGAAAATTATTTTTGAAACCAAGTTTAAAAAAAGCAGAATATCAACTAAAAGATGGTTTTCTTTAAAATCCTTTACATTTGCTTTATTTTATGGATGCTATACAATAAACTAGACCTGGGACGTGATACTTTTCTGCTGGAAGCCAAGGACAAAAATAGAGCCTTCTCGTATTTCATGGATAGAAGCAGTCCAAGGTGACAGTTCAGAATTCTGTTTTCCTTGTGAAAAG